ATATTATTAACATTATTTCTCCAAAGGCCTCATACATGAGGTTTTTAAGGTAAACAAGTAATTTGTGATTTTTGATGCTATCGGAATCACCAAAATTTCTATTTGTATTTAGGCAGTGTTTGCAAAAGTAAACTGAAGTGGAGGGCTGAGTAATTCTCTCCTGATTCTGGGTCCTATTGTCAGTGGAAATGTTAATTATGAATTAATGAGAAGTTTGAATCTTTATTCTCAATAGCAATTATTTGGCCTAAAATATTCAAATGTCTCAGAGCCCTACTTTCTTTTCCCCCTGTAGACATAAGAACGACAGGTTAAAATAATTTTTAAAAAATTGAAAAAATGTATCATTTCACATAAGATAACACAATTTCCCTTCCTTAATTTTCCCTTTTAAAATACAATCCTATCAACCAGTAGAAACTAAAAATACATGAAACAAATAAATAAATAAATAAAACAAAATAAAATTCAAAATTAGATCAAGGGCAGTTTTGTACAAAGTAAGTTATCAAAATTCATTTGACTTCCCATTTGCTTTTAAATGAACAAACAACAGATCTTAAGGAAATCTAAAATTGAGAGTTAACAATTATCAGGTGAACTTGATATATGCCACCAGTTATTCCCGGTAAGTGAAGCCACAAACAGGATATTTTAGTTCGCCCCATCTGACCATGGTGACTAATTGGATGAGCACTAGAAATGATGCCAAACCTTGATTTGATGCCACTTGTCTACATAACAGAAGTGGCTGGAACCCAAAGCTCTGTACTCAGTACTCATAAATAGCACAATCCTGTGATGTATCTCCTCAGATGCATAAGATATTTAATCTAAAAACACATGCATATGTTGTCTATACTGTTCACACCTTCAGCATACCTATGTATATGTGTAAAGCAATAACAATCTTAATTTATATTCTGTTTCTCTCTCTCTCTCTGTTTCTGTCTTTACTTTTCTTCCCAGATATATATGAACCTTCAACCCATTGTATTGGTCAGTATAGCCAGTTGTATTTATTTCTGCCCTCAAGTTAACTGTAACGCAATTGGTTCATTTTCCACAACAGTAATAATTGTGGTAAAGTGATGGATTGATAATTTTGGTCATCTTTAAAAGAACCAAATACAAATAACAATTCACTTCATATGTGGGTAACTAACCTGTAATCAGTCAAACTGGCAATGGAATACAGAGGTACTGAAGGTTTTCTAAAAGTATTTGAGCAGATAGTTAAGATTGAATATTAGTATTTGCCTATCTGAAGTTATGTCAGATTCCAACTGATTAAAAAGAATGGGCAGGGATCGAAGCATGTTGATCTTGGCACTGTCTGACTCTTCTGCAAAGGGGCTGCCAGTGGGAAGGAACACAGATTGCAAATATGTTTCTAAAGAAAGCATTTTTTTAACAGACATTTAGCGATTAAGTTGAATACAAACAGTATTCTAAAGCTATATCTTACCCTCAAATCTGGGTGAAATGATCAGTTTAGTTACTGCTTTATTTTTTCTGAAAAATAATTGAAAGACAAATATATTTAACAAACTGTGGCTTCAGGAATATCATTGTAGCAAACAATTTTATTAATACTTTCATAAAAATGGCAATTAATAAATTCTAATAGCTTGATGTTATTAAAAGCAAACAAAAGTCATTAAAACAGTTCTTTTCTGTGATTTACATTAGCTTTTACAGCATTTCTTGATTTTTTTCTCTTACAAATTAATCTAAAATACTAATCAAATCAGGGTAAAAACAATACAATAATTTTTTTTAACTTTATTTTAAAATAGTGATTATAAATACAATCTTAATATAGTTTCTCTCCAGCTCTTTGGATGCGACAATAAGAACAAAAAAAAACCTCACTGTGCTCATTTCATACAATGTCAATGTACAAATCATGCAAAAAATTATAGATTAATATTACCTCCATACATTTCTAGATGTGTTCTGTTATTTCTGAAATACCTGTTGATTACTCATAAGGTCATGCCCTCTATAATTTATGCCTCCTTATGGCTTAAAAAAAAGTAAATGTTTTAAAAAAAGCAACAAAAGAAAGATGGTCTTAAATAAATTTCTAATTAATATATTTTTTCAGTGTATTCAGAATGAAAAACTAAATGTAGAATATAAATTGCCTTATAGACTTGAATCACTATACTTTAATAGCTGCTTTCTCATAAAATTACACAAAGACTTACTTTTAAAGAATTGAATCATCTTTATTGATTTCATAAAAAAATAATTTAAAACTTGATTTATATTACACGGACACAATATATTATCTCAACCCCTTCACTGATTTCATAAGGTCTAAATTGGTTTGCAACCATTCTAACATAGTCCATACACATAAATATAGTGCCAAAAAGCCCATGATGTGTCAGACCACATTAGAAATGAGCACTTCTTGGATTTTATAGGTTTGCTTCAATGTTCCACTAAAAATGCTGTACTGATGTACATATCATTTCTCAAGGGGTTAAACTAACATCAAGGTTATAGTTGAAGCCAACAAAATGTAGATACAGTATTTTAACTGTTTTTGTACTCAACTCAGAATTTATGCCTAACTACATTATCATAAAATGTACAAGTAGAACTAATGAGAGACAGGTGCAAAATTGTATACACTATATAATGTAGGCACAATGACTTTAGTTAAGGAAAATATGTTAGCCTTAACCAAGGATTTGTTACTTTCATTTACAATTTGAACCTCCAAATAACCACGTACGTTAAATTACTTTTTTAAAAAAAGGTGAACATTTATATCTTTCAGCAGAAGAGTATGAGATAGCCAATATGCTACAGCAAGCTTTTGAGATGGTGGCAGGTACTCTTTCCATTGACAATTCTGCAGAAACCTTGAAAATCCTCAAAACATCACTACACTGAATAAAAGGCATCATTCCAGTGACTTATTATCCCCAGATCATTGATGAAACTTTCTGTTCCTACTATAAGTGTCTATTTAAGATCCCTCAAGCCATACTTTATTGACAGACTAAACTAAAACACTTTCTTTGAAGCCTTTGCATCTTTATCCTGTCAGTATACATTAGGAGCCCTTTAATCCATGGATGTGTGCATGCATGGTAATGGCATATCAAAAGTCCTTATGAAATTGTAGATGAAAAAAGCTGTTGGGCACACATCTTGTCTTTTCTTTCATGATCAGAAAGCAATCGTTTGTTTGGATTTTTATATTCATATAAAGTTTTCACAGATGTCATAAAAATTAAAATTCCACACTAAACTTTTAAGAGCACCAACACATACACATGGAGACATTTTTTTCTATTTAAAAATATTTCCAAATTATCTATATGTATGAATATATACCCAGAAATATACATACATACGCATACACACACGCACAAACACACATACACACACACACTCAAGAATGCCAAGCTTCGTTTTTTTTTGTCTTGCAACAAACACATAAAGCCCTGAAATTAGTGATTAATAAAGGAACTGATATTGCAGCTATAAACATAATATCATTTTGGAAGCTGCAACAGGAAATATGCCACTTGCAATCATGAAGAATGGCTATGTTTACCTTCTTGGTTACTGATCCATAAGGTAATTATAAGAGATGGAATACGGACACACACACACAATATATATATATACATATATATATATATATATACACACACACACACACACACACACACACATACACACATATATATGTATGTATACACACACAAAACCATATATATGTATATATATACACACACATATATATATACACGCATATATATATATATACACACACATATATATGTATATTTATATATATCACTCTCTATATATATATGCAGGCAGGCCAAGAAGACAATGTGTTTCTGAATATCACTTTGTTAATCGGGAGCTCCTACAAAAGTTCCAACATCACCCGTTATCAGTTACTTTAGTCCTTTAACAAATTTTGACTTAGATCTTAGCACAAGCAAACACAGGGGCACATCATTTGTACTTGCACTGTGAACTCATCTGAAACCAATGCAAGCATTCTTACAGTGAGGCTTTCATAGCCAAGATAACCATGATGTTTACAGTTCTACTAGATTATCTGATAGTAGTCTGAATGATGAAAGAACAGGATACTGATGCATACAAGATATAACTATTAACCTTATTCATTATTTTTTAAATACTTGTAGTGAAAAGTATTTGAATTAAGCTCGTAGAATCCTGAAAAGCAAGACAATTGGTGGCAAGTAACAACTGCCCCAGACACAATACTAGAAAACTAAGGAACTTATTTTTAAATGCACAATTGGTAACAAATCTGAAGCTAATATGCTAAATTCACAAGAATAGCACAGAATTTTCTTTTGTATTTTTTCTTTTTTTGTTTTTAATTTTTTTTTTGTTTTTAAGTTACACCTGATCACAAAGTCCAGAATATTTCTGTACACATCGGCTTGTTTCAGTTTAGTATATTTTTTCTGTCTACATCTATACTTACTGGTAAATTCACTGTGATCAGGAAAACAAGTCAGGCATATTAAATACATATTAAGGAGTACATATTTTCCTATTTAGTATACAAAGTACTTCATAAATATGAATTATGTTACAAAAATAGCTTTGGGTGCGCTCACACAGCAAGCACTCTGCTAATTTTGGACAACCTTTAAGGATTGTGGGTATTTCACATAACTGAGAACAAACTCTAGTGTTAGTTTAATTTGAGCCATGTTTAATTCGGATTAAACATCACATATTTCTTCAGATCATCACGAATGCTATCTAACTCACGTTGATTTTTTCTTTTAGATTTTTATGTATAGACAGGTAATG